ATGCGTTCAAGGCACTGCCGAGCTCTATAAGGGACATCTCGTCCAGCTCAAGAAGAATATCTACTGCAGGCATAGTCTCGAGGCGGACGTCGCCATCTTCCTCCCCGTCATACCGTTGACGAGAGTGTATAACTGTGCGCCATCGTCTACGGTAGACACATCCTGGGTCAGGATCGACGCCCGGCGTCTTGCAGCCAGCATACGGCGTTTTTGACGCCTCTGTACAGAGGTTTAATGTCTCGGCGAGACCAGGGTGGACACGCACTCTGCGTCGTCCGGTGTCACCCTGCTGTCCGCTCCTTTGGAGCTCCGATGTTATCTACAACATCCGCCAAAGAGCTGCTAACCCCGCAGTCTTCGTCCAGTGGATAACGCACCACTCCACGCGCGTCTGAAGGGCCGTGTCCAAGATACCTCGGACTCTGTCTGATCACGCCATCAATGGCATGCAGCGACTGCTTTGTAACGAGAGCAGTGCTCGGTGATTTACGTGCCACTTCACGTGCATAACGAGGGCATCGCCCTTGATGCCTCGGCCCTTGGCCGATCATGTCACGCACGCATGACATGCAGCGACTGCTTCGATACTCGAGCTGTGCTCAGTGGGTTCCGTGCCACGTGGTCTTCGTTGACCGTTTGAGCAAGATCATCCATCTTGAGGCGGTGCCGGACACCATCGACGGTGTGGGTACAGCGACGCTGTTTGTGGATCGTGTTTTTTGACAACATGGACTCCCGGAATCAATTAAACCTGACAGAGACCCACGCTTCACTAGAAGGTTCTGGTCGATGATCTTCGAGGTGCTGGGCGTCAAGTTGGATATGACAACAGCGGATCAGCAGATTAATGGTCAAACTGAGTGCATGAATCGCGTCGTTGAAGACGTCCGTCGCAGCGCCTGAGCTGTGACGCTGAGGTACTGGAGCGCCATGCTGCCGAGACCGACCTTGTAGAATCCAATGGTCGAGTGATCAAGTCCTTCGCTTCAGATGCGGGATCCGCCAAGCGGAAATCATATTCCACACGAGGGTCTAGGACCGACCGTGGATGCGTGCGTATAGCCGCCCCTATTGCTGCCTCTGGGCCTCGTCGAGGTCGTTGGTTGTGACCCTCCCCCGAAGCCGAGAGATCGGTAAAAGGACACGTGTCCGCAAGGTTTGAGCTGGGCACACATCGCGCCGCTGGTGCACCTTGCATTCCTCTTCTTCCCATCCTAGATCGGACTCGCAGTCGACTTCCTCCAAATCCTCGACGATGTACTTCGTCGCCGGCGGTGGGTGTGGTACGCAGTGCTCGGTTACCGAGGGCTTAGAGTGCGCTTTTTTGAAGCCGCGGACGTGCTGGAAGGTGCATCGCGTGCAAAAGCCGAAGAAGGCTCTGCCCGCGGACACTCTCGGAACCAGCGAGGCTGGGTGTCTTTCGTGTCCTAGACACAGGGATCATCGAGCAGACAATTCTTAAAGAAGGTATTGGAGATGTAGATGTGTCTTAGACACGCGAGTATCGAACGAGGCGACAGTAAAATGTGAGCTGTCGGTGTTCACAATTTTGCGGGAGAGTGTAACGGGATTAGACGTACCCTGTTATGAAGGGGTGGGTGATGTGATCATACAATGGTGTAAATTATACAAGACGTGTAATCTAACGATGGTTTGGCTATACCTTAACAAGAAGTCAGTACGTGGGTGGACTATGCATTTTTTTAGTTAAGTTTTACTATTTAGTTAGAAAAACCTATATATTTAGATATAGGCGGCTTTGCCGCAAATAAAATCAAAAGTACAGTATACATTTTGGGCGGAAAAGTTTAATTGCCTTGGGTTAAGGCCGTGATTACTCTTGGAGTAAGCGGATTGCGATCTGCAACACTCGTACTGGTTCTAAGTATAGAACGGAGATCACCGACCTTAGCTTAGCTTCCTGTAAGCGAAAGAGCTACGGCAGCCCTGCTGCATACGCCGTGCGTGTCGCTTCGATTATACGCGATGCCATCATCGTGACATGCGGCGACCCATAGCTTGGGCGACGCAAAAGCGCATCCACCACCACGACCGTATTCACATTCGAAAGAATTAAAAGCATTTCTTTACAGAATAGCTTCACATATCTCATAGTTTTTATTGTTCCTTAAGTCTCTGCAACAATCTCTGCGGCCACTTTTTATTAAAGTCAGGGACCACCGTTATTTACTTCCGTTTCATACAGACCAAGTAGTTTCCGGTCTGCATTTACGTTTCTTCTCGATTTGTTGTTTGGTCTGTCGTACGTCAAGTAGGAAGGGCTATTCCCGGAACAAGGACGTCACAATTTTAAAAGCCTTTGAACAGGACATATGCCAATAGCGTGGAAATTTTTCGCTAAGTTGTTCATATCGACTGCGTGCGGCACCCGATAAATCACGTACTACCGCACCAGATACCAGCCGTTATTATTATTGTCATTGAGCTCAGTATTCAGAGACTCCACCATTATATACGCCTTTTTAGGGCCGACTTAGACAAATACTAGATATGACGTTTTTACTTCGAAAAAATCCAATCAGCGTGTGACTGTGAAAGAAGTGACTATGATTTCTGAACGTCTTTGTGATACGGGTTAGCCAAGATTACGACCGGTGATTGGCACACGAATGTCAGACTGGCATTTCAAAAACTTCTTTGTCAGGCTCCAGCTGATATGGATTGGTCGCTTGAGTGTTGCAATGACAAGCAGTTTCTGTCTATCTTCCTCATCATCTGCTACTCCATCACTATTTTCAAACTGTGATTGCATTGTGTCTTCTATGATGTGCTACGATCCACTGCTGATCGCTTTTTGCTGTAGATGGCGTGTACCAATTATCCACCCTTTCAAGACGCTGTACGTCGCTCCTACTTGCTGATGTAGATTCACTACACTAACAGATTATATGGTCGCTTCTTGTACGATGCAGAACGGTCTTTCTGCATGAATTGGGGCACGCAACAGCTGCGTGGCTTACTTGCGGAAGCGTACGAAGCTTATACTGCGAATGCACCGATAGCATCGCGTTGCTAACGACGCTGTCGATGTATCTTCTGTAGGTGGAGGGAATGGAAGTGCATCCGGACGAAGGTGGCGTCACCAAGACCGTTGGCGGCCTCCAGTGGGTCATTGTTCCAGCCGTATGTTGTGAGTATGTTTGATACAATGTACAAGATGCTGACACGGTTGTACTGCCATTTCAAAGGGCTACTTAGGATCAGCGATGTGGGGTATGGCGCTCACAATTGCCAGTGCTGACAAAACAGCGTCAGAAGTGGCAGCAGGAGTCCTTATTTTCTTCCTGCTCGTCTTCATCCTCCTCGCCCACAATAATTACCTTCGCATCCTCAACTTTTGTTTTATCGTGCTACTTGCGGGACTTATGGCGCTCAATATTGGAACAACATTTGACGCGCTGCAATACGTGACACTATTTCTAGGTGTCATGAGCTGTCTTTTCTCTGTATACGACATCTGGGACGATCTCATTGCCCGCCGATTGAACGAGAGCGATGCGTCAGTATTCGCCAAAATGACGCATACTTCCAGTCGTTGCTGGGGAGTCATCTGGGGCCTGATTGCAATCGCGTCGCTCGTCGCAGGCTTGTACTTCAACTTGCTGGTGGCTGAAGACTCGGGCGAGTCACTAAGCAGCATTTCTGACGCCTCAACTGGTACAAAAGTCGCATTGGCGTGTGCTGTCGTCATTGTAGCTCTCGCTGTCATGCACACCGTACTTACTCGACGATGTATGCTGCGGAAACGCAATGGGCTTGGCAGCTATTTTGTCGCATTAGCTTAGATACGTTCAGTGAGAACGTTTTGATGATGGACGGGCTATCAAATGTGACCATCTGTAAAGTTTGTTTAATTTGACTTTATTTTCTAGATAACACACGTGATTGATTCGAACCTAACAAATGCAGACACTTCCTGCCAAACGCTACGCACTCACCAAGCGCGTATCTTGTAGTTTTGAAGGACAATGATTGTCTGCGCAAGTGTACAAAATTACATCTTACACCTACGACAGAATGCCATTTGTCATGCGCTGAAAATTGTCATATTGGCGCGTGCTGTAATTATTGTTACTCTTGCGGATGAGCGAAAGCACGTAGGCCACAGTCTCTTGTTTCGTGAGTGTCAGCTTAAAGCGAGAACGAAGGCGTAATAAAATATAATCTGCGTCAATGCCCAGGAAACACGGATACGGGGACTGCCGTGACATGACGTCAACAAGGTCGCAAATCTCGTCACAGTGCTGTTGACATGCCAGGAAGCCTCGAGTACATAATGTTACGTATTCCTTGAAGCCCTCCGAGTCTTGGCCACCCATAGTTTCGACCATCTCAGCCGTGAGTTTGAATGGGGCTGATTCAATGCTCAGCATTCCACCCGGAGCGATACCAAGTAAGAACCCATAGTCAATATGGATGATATGACCTTCATCATCCAGCATGATGTTTCCGTTATGTCGATCCTTGATCTGCAAAAAGTAACACACGAGCGAATATCCAGCCATCGACTGTATAAACTTTCTTTGGGCTATCTTAAAACGGTGCGAATCAGGAGGGCCGTACGATTTTTCGAAATGATGAAGCAAAGACACATATCCTTCACGCTTCTTTAAACCATCCAGCGATATTGCATTGATCAGCGTTTCAATCAATCCAGTTGACGAACTCGTCGCAATAATGCGATATCGCTTTACCCACATTGGTAAATTTGCACCCCGAAATATCTCGACGAACTTCTGGATCAATTGCAATGTAAATACCTCTTGACGAAGGTCATCGTTGCTCTTGCCGATCATAGATACGATGTCCCAGCCAGGTAAATGACCATAAGGTGATGCTGCCATCAGCCTTGCACGCTTAGAGCTCCACGACTCGCCAAATGCTGCCTCAAAATCTTTCCGTCGCGCTTTCTCACGCTCAATCGCTTCAGCTGTTATATTGCCCGTTGCCAAGTCCATTTCAAGCGGTGTAGATGGTTCAGTATGCGACCTAACAATGGATGCAATTGTACCAGCCACCTTAGAATCAGGAGACGAAATAGCGATCGGTGGAGTTGCTGAAGGCGTGGACACCGTTTCCGAAACACCAATTGGTGTCTCTGGCAAAGGAACACGACGCGACATGGCGGCCGGAGTGTGATATGGTTCAGAGATCACACGCGAGGAAAGTATCGTTTCGACTTGGACTTCTTCAACATCGTCTGCATCGCCTGCAAACGGTTGATGTTCAATCAGCTGTCCAATCTCTTCATCTTCAACGTAGTTGACTTCGGACGATTCCAGCATACTGCTTCCGATTCGACTTTGCCTTGAAGGAGACCGTGGTGACTCAAGTATAGAGGTGTCACGTTGTTGGTCATCGTCGAAAGGATTGCCGCGAATCACCTCAAAGATCAGCAATATAGGAACACGCGCTTTTGTTGAGAATGCTGTTCCTTCCTTTGTTGGAATCCGTACAATTCGCTCAAAAGGGTCTGTCGCTTTTACCAATGGGACGTAAGCCATTGGCGGAAGATGTAACTTTTCTAAATACGACGGTAATTGAATCTTACGCTCTTGAATCGATGGCACGAAGCGCAGGGCTTCAGCAATATCCGTAATCTGCTCGACAAAGTCGCACTCGTCAGCAAAATGCTTCGCTAGCAACGACTTGTCAGTCTGATTCGACCGTCGCATCGACTCATTAAAAATATTGATTGATTGGCTACCTGTATCTTCCTCTTCTAAGATCGACAACCGTTCGTCATGCTCATAGTCGTCTCCTGAAGGGTGCGTTAACAACAAAGAATCCAAATCTTCTTTGGGTGTGAGTAAGTGTTGCTGAAAGCGTGAAAAATCACGAAAGCGGCTCTCCACATCCCCTTCAGGTGATTCTTTATATCCTGCGCCTTTTCTCGGTGAGAAAGAGGAGAACACTTTCATGCCTGAAGGAGAGCTACTTGAGGTCAATAAATTGTGTGCGTGACAGCGGTGAATGGCGATCTCCTCTGTTAGCTTAACGATTACCCGCAGCTGATCATCTGTTGGCATGGGCAGATTCCGCTTGTCTACGTGAGACGTTTCTTGCATCGGATCGCGACTCAGCACCGTGGCCCGGTCGACACCTGCAACTTCACGCTCAATCTCCACCATCAATCGTACTACACGTGCATACTTGTCTTGCATGTCTTTAGGTTTTCTCGTATCAAACGAGTCTTCAAGTGCACCTTGAAGCTGCCATCGAAGAAGGAGCGCAAGATGAATGGATCGCGAACAAACGGACACAATTAGCTCATCGAGCCAAAAAATCTTCTCAAAATCAAAATTTGGAATGGATAGATAAGCATGAACAATCTGAGGCCAATAAAATTCCACTTGATTAATACGCGTGTACGAAAAGTGCAACAACTTTTCCACAATTGGTTTGAACAGTAGCGGATCACTGTCCAGGTGACGATGTAACAAAATCACGGCTCGATAAACGCTAAAGCTGCGTGCACGAAATTCACGGTGGAGGCCCAAAATTTTCAGGTCCAACGGAATCTCGGGGTGATCCATCGTGTGATCATAGAATCGTCGATCTTTCAGCAAGATTTCTTCACATTCTTCAGCAGTAATCACTTTGGCTTTTAATAGATCGATTGCAATTTTGGCCGACTCGGTCTGCAGTGGACGCTTAGGCATAATTAACTCAATCGGTGCCTCCGGATTTAACGGCTTTGGATACAAACAGATCCCCGCTTTCAGTCGCTCAACCATTGCACGCAAGTAATTAATGTAATTCTGTGCCTCGTAACATCTGTCACAGACGCGTTTGGCGTAGTAGTAGAATCGATGCGGGAGCGGGACTTTATGAGTCGTAAATTTATCGCAGAACAACCCGTCACAGCTATAACACTTGTATAACAGTGTAGCTGTCATTGGAGCCACTTGCCCAGCAGTCACAGCTTGCGATATTAAACGGGTGCAATCCGGACACTTGCACTTCACGTCCGTCTCACTTGACGGGACTGCAGCTGTACTTACTGGTGAGGTAGATACATCAAGCGACGCGTGGTGAAGGAATGTAGCCGCAAGACGCGGTGCCGTGGTCACTACAGCTGTCTGAATGGCTCGAATCCACTTTTCTTTGTCCATTGCGGTGTCAGCATAAGCGTAAAAAACTTTACTCTGCGCTGTGGCGAATAAAAGTCCGTGTTGGTATATGTGCATATTGCCTTTTCCATCCCATTCTTGCACACCAAGCACGTCCACTTCGCCCTTAATACGCAGCATGTGATACGCATCCTCCTGTGTACTAAGAGTTTGCAATGTAAGCGTGTCATAGTGATGCAATACAATCAAACGGTATACGTAATACCTGTAGTAATGGAACGACGTTCCGACGAGAAAGCAGTAACGCCGAAGCATGGGCGGCGGAGATGACGGACTCGTGCGGAACGTAAGGTATCCCTCGCAGCTAGCGCGTGGAGCCTTCATGTCACTCCACGAGATAACACGAGACAGCTTGCGATGACGTCTCGTTATGGCACTCAGCGTAGTTGAGCGCTCTGGATCGAATCTGTTTGCTACTGGGCACGGACTGAAACGTTATTCCGCGACTAAAGTACAGTCAATCTGCACGAGAAGCACCTAGTTGAACAGAAAGATAGTACAGAGCCGAATGGAGCGTTTGCGCGTTGCTCAAAGGTACTTTCAGAGAGGAGCGGACCCGTAGCGCGAGTCTCTTCCTTCAAGAAACGTTGCGCTGTTGTGTGAGTCCTCACTCCCTATGTATATGAAATGGCCCGTGGGACTTATGGTGGGACCTATGATGGGTCTCAATTTTCAGCGGGTTTTTAATTTTTGGTACAAAAGTGGTACAAATTTGTTTTCGCTGGCTGGCGAGACACTGAGGGCGTCAATGGCTCGTGGAAAGAAGACGGCAGCACCGCTTAAGGCGTCCATGCCCAATACTGCTAACAACAACAAAGGTAACAAGAAGACAGCAGGTATTGTGATGAAAAAGCAAAATAAATTTCAGATACAAACGACACCCGTAAAAATTATCAAGCCAGAGGATGATGAAGACAAAAGTGACGACGACAATGAGACCAGCGACACAGAGGAAAGCGACGATGCTGATGATGAAGAGGACGATGGGTTTGAAGATCAAGGTTCGTCTTCCGATGATGACAGTGGCGACGAAGAGGAGGGAGATGGCGAGATATCGGAGCTGGAGAAAAAGACGCGTCGTTTTACTGTGGATCGCGAAAGGGAGGTGCAAAAAATGCGTGAGGACGGTTCGCTTTCAGTGGCATCACGACTTCATGTAGACGACCTGTCTTCTGATGACGAAGAAAATGTAAATACTATTGGCAACGTCCCACTTCGGTGGTACGAGGACTACGACCACATTGGGTACAACATTGACGGAAAGAAAGTCATGAAGTCAAACAACGGCGACGGTATTGACAATGCGATCGCTGCAAAGGATGATCCAAATTATGAGTATGTTGTGATATTTTTTTTGCTTTTGCTTACACGAAACTGATGCTGATAATGGTAATTTCGGTCGCAGCCGTACTGTGTACGATGCTTACAACGATCGCAAGATTGTTATTTCGGATCGAGACATGGAAATCATTCGTCGGATGCAAGCTGGTGCGTTCGCTCACCCAGAGTTCGAGGCTTACCCGGAATACGTCGACATTTACTCTTCAAACAAGATCATTCACTCTATGGGCAATGATCTGGAGCCTAAGAGCCGATTCTTGCCGTCTAAATGGGAGCGCATGAAGGTAATGAAGATCGTGAAGGGCATCAAAGAAGGTCGCATTAAAGTCGATCAGAATCCCGAGAAGAAGCCTGAGGTTTATCAAATGTGGTTTGACGATGACCAGGCGCAGACTCGTAAAGGTCCAGCTCATGTGCAGGCACCAAAGATGCCACTTCCAGGACACATTGAGTCGTACAACCCTCCTGAGGAATACTTGTTTACGAAAGAAGAGCGTCGAGCTTGGGAAGAGGCCGACCCTGAAGATCGTGAAACAAACTTCATGCCGAAAAAGTTTAAATCACTGCGTGAAGTTTGCGGCTATGGTGGTTTTGTGCGGGAGCGCTTCGAGCGCTGCCTCGACTTGTACCTGGCGCCTCGTGTCAACAAGCGCAAGCTTAACATTGACCCTGAGTCCCTTGTGCCCGAGCTTCCAAAGCCTCAAGATTTGCGTCCTTTTCCCAATACGTTGGAGCATATATTTAATGGTCACACTGGCCGTATCCGCTCGCTAGTTGTGGATCCATATGGACAGTACGTTGCGTCAGGTTCTGATGACTTTACCGTCCGCATATGGGAGTTGGAGACTACGCGTTGCTTGCACGTGTACAACCTTGGTGCGGTTGTGCACAAGCTGGCGTGGAACCCAAACAAAGATCATCAATTGCTGGCTGTCGCAGCTGCCAAGAAAGTTTTTGTAATTGCGACCGGAACAGGTAGCGCAGACCAAACAGAACTTACTAATGCTCTTGTGGGCGATGCCGATGACAGCATTCATATGTCCAGCGAACAGGAAGAAAATGTCCAGATTGTGAATGAGGATGAAGCGAATGTGGAGGCCGACGCACTTAAGAAAAAGGTGCCAATAACTTGGCGTTTCTACAGCGGCACAAAGGACGAAGACAAATTAAAGCAGGTAGAACAGCTGTGGTTGGATCGTCGCGTAGGCACCGGTATTCGTGTGGTGCTGCACCACACAAGCGACGTCAAGAATTTGGCATGGCATTATAAGGGCGACTACCTTTCTACCGTTGCTCCCGGCGCTGGTTCTGGAGCGGTATTGATTCATCAACTCTCAAAGCGAAAGACTCAAAACCCGTTTCAAAAGAGCTTGGGACAGGTCCAATGTGTGTTGTTTCATCCGTCTAAACCATTTTTCTTCCACGCTACTCAACGCCATGTGCGTGTGTACAACCTCGTGAAGCAATCAATTGTCAAGAAACTGTCTTCAGGTGTCAAGTGGATTTCGAGCATGGCAGTACACCCGAATGGGGATCACTTATTAGTGGGTAGTTACGACCGAAGATTGTGTTGGTTTGACTTGGATCTGTCATCGAGGCCGTTCAAGACGCTCAAATACCACGAAAAAGCAGTACGTGATGTGTCATTCCATCCCAAGTACCCATTGATGGCGTCAGCTTCGGATGACGGCACCGTTCACATCTTCCATGCGATGGTCTATTCGTACGTGTTGGAAGCGATTCTGTTGTTTTTTTAGCAAATCTGTTCAACGTGGTATGTTTCATGTGATTTATAACTGTAGGGACCTGATGAAGAACCCACTCATAGTGCCACTGAAGATCTTGCGTGGTCATGAAGTCACCGGCGGCCTCGGTGTCATGGCATTAGCCTTCCACCCTATTTTGGTTCGTTTTGAAATTGTTTCAAGTGTCTTTGTGAGGTATACTGACTCCTGTCTTTTATCTACATTTGCTCTACAGCCATGGGTGGTGACGGGTGGTGCCGACGGATCTATTCGTCTCTTTCAAGACATTCACTAACTCGCCTATTGTATGCCTAGCACAAATTTGGGTAAAATGGTGTTGCTTCGAATTCTTAGCTAGGAAGTTTGATTATAGACTACATGCGTTTGCTTACAAAGAATGTGTCGTGTCCATCGAGGCACTCATGGGTTGCAATTAGCGTTGTAGCACACTGGTAGTCCTTAATTTATTAAGCAATGGCAAGAAACGAAGTATTAGGCTACACCTAGACACATTGGAAGGCTGTTATGACTTGATCCGAGTGGAGGGAGCCGGCGAACGCTACAGACAACACTGAGGAGATTTACTCACAGAGATCTGAGCATTACTTCAAACCATCCGCCTGCTCGCTTCTCCATTTCGGTCTCCGCGAGTTGACATGCATCTTTAACCGAGTCACGCACCCAACCTTTTCTTAATTTTTCTTTCCCAAGCTAGGCATGCGGAATCGAGGTTTCTTGGATGCAGCTGAAGGCATTGGAGGAGGTACTTGACCATATCGCACTGGGTACTGGTACTGACCGCCTAAAGTAGTGGGAGGGTACTGTTGCTGCGTCTGACCAAATTGCTGTTGCGGCTGGCCATAATGCTGCTGAGGCTGGCCAAACTGCTGCGAAGGTTGTCCAAACCGTTGTGGAGGTTGTCCGTACTGTTGTTGAGGTTGTCCGTACTGTTGTTGAGGTTGTCCGTATTGCTGTTGAGGTTGCCCGTATTGCTGCTGCGGTTGCCCGTACTGCTGCTGCGGTTGCGCGTACTGCTGTCCATACTGCTGATGCTGACCGTACTGGTGAGGCTGGTTGTTGCCGTAGCCGTAGACGCCCGGGGGCTGAACATGTCCAGAATGCTGTGGCGGGTACAAGCCCGTGGCCATTACTGGCGGAAAGCTGGCGTTGTTCACAGGTTTA